AAAAATAATTACAGACACAGAAATTTATTTACAAAAATAGTGTTGCCAGACAGACGATTCTGAATACCCGTAAAGTACTACTCGCTTCCATCACGCACGTGTTCGAAAATAATAAAAGTCATTATATCTGCTAAGCTTTTCCCCGAATTGTTCGGGGTCGGCTAACTAAGCCAGGCCAGGAGAAACGAAAATAAATAGGTAACTTCTAAACATTTTTTGCGAGGCCCCCTGAGGCGCGAGGCCGTCGGCGGTGGCCGACGTCGCCGACGCCTAGCGCCGCCACTGTTAAGGAAGGACGAGTCGTTAAACAAACTATTATAATATGTTTGGGAAAAACACTCTTGGCCCCCTTTTTTTTTTAACGCAGGTAAAAAATCTTTTTACATACGACGGCGCCTTGAAGAGGCACTCTGCCGAACGGTCCTCACACCTGGCTCCCGCAAGTCTTACGGACCCCCCAAAAAGCGTAATTCTTCCCGTCCCTCTCCCCCCTCCCGGTCGCCCACGTCTCCTCGCTTCTTCTCCTAGAAAAGGGGGGAAAGGCGGCCGACAGCATTCGTGGGGGGGGGGGGGGGTTCGAGTGGCCGAGGCTACTCGGACATCCCCCCCTCTGAGGGCGCCCGTGCCAACTCAGAATGGCCCTCTTGGCCCCTGGGTAAATATACCCTTGACTCTTATTTTAAATACCTACATACCTAATATAGTATTGCTGCGTGGGATGCGTCTAATCAGAGTTAGAAGTTCTGGATTCGAATCCCATTGGTGTAAATTTTTGTATATTCAAGTTATGGTTGCTTATCATATACATTTATATTATTCATATATCATTATAATATGTATTTCAATCCGTTACCCTAGTATCTAGTAGTTATGTTATGGGTATGAGTATTATAACACAAGCTTTACCTACTTACCTACCTACTACAGTGCTTACTTTGGGGCTACAAAGTAGTGTAAGCAGGGCCGGATTTAAGGCAGGGCAGGCGGGGCTGTGGCCCAGCTGAGATAATAAAAAAAGGCCAAGGCACTGAGGGTTCCGTACAAACCTGAATTTTCAAAAAAAAAGGCAAGAGTGCTTATGACCACACGAATGAAGTGAAACTTCTTTAGCTCCAATGATCAGAAAATCATAAACTTGACTACAACAATTGTTGATAGAAAAAAAATCACCAATCCGTGCTGGGTCCGTTACCACCCACTAATCCGTGCTGGGTCTGTTATCACCCACCAATCCGCACTGGGTCCGTTATCACCCACCAATCCGCGCTGGGATCACCCACCAATCCGCACTGGATCTATTGTCACCCACCAATCCGCGCTGGGTCCGTTATCACCCTCCAATTCGCACTGGGTCCATTATCATCCACCAATCCGCGCTGGGTCCGATATCACCCACCAATCCGCACTGGGTCCGTTATTACACATCAATCCGTGCTGGGTCCGTTATCATCCCCCATTCCGCGCTGGTTTTTTTCTATCAACAAATCTTCAGACTAAGTTAATGATTTTCAGATCATTGGAGCTAAAGAAGTTTCACTTCAGTCGTGTGCTCTTATGCAAACTCGCTTTTTTCTATTATATGATGTAACTAAAAATTTACAGTTTTGCGCAATTTTTCCTTTATCTGTACTATAAGACGTTACTTCGTACTAAATTTTAAGATTCTAAGTTCACGGGAAGTACCCTGTAGGTTTCGATTCCCATGAGAGTATCGAAAATTTGCGGCATCTTTTGATTGTTCTGGCTTAGAAGTTTGATTTTTTCACAGCTCCAAAGGACAGTAGACCTGAGTATTAGATATGAATTTCAGTTTGATACCTCCACGCGTTCCTGGGAAAAACGGAAGGACGGACGGACAACAAAGTGATCCTGTAAGGGTTCCGTTTTTTGAGCATAAAAACGGGTAAAACATTTTTATTTTGTAATCGGATTTTTCTCATGTTTCTGGTCCAGAATGCATGAAATTTTGGTAAAATGAATAGGCATAAGTACATAATTGTGTAGATATTTTATTAATAACGTAAATTATTATTTATACAACCAGAACCGGACGATTTTTTAAATTTACTGAAAATAAAAATTACCACGTATTCCTCAACACACTCGAGATTCAATTTACAATAACTGATGAAACAATGCTTGCAGATATTTAAACAAGCTGTAGTTTTGGCAGTTATTATTTTTAATTTGTATGTTAGCAAGATTGGAATTTAGAAAGGTCCTAATACACAAAAATCTATCTGTGCCCAAAAATATAGAGGTAGGCACGGTTCTATCGTACATAATTTATTAGGTGCTTTCTGATAGGTACCTAACCTAACTCAAACTACATTTAAAAATATTGTGAAAACAGTACTGCCAGATTTGCTTAGTTTGGCATCCAAAAATTTAACTCCTAATATAGAAATTAAACTTTCATTTTATATAAACCTTTTATATAAAAATAAACAAAAAAAATCTCAATTGATTCTTTTCTATCTTTAATTGATTTTGTTGACTTATTACTCAAGTAAAATTATAATACGATTCATAACCCGTTAACGACAGTTTAACTCAAGACATTGACAAAACTTATTTCAATAGAAAATTCTTAGTATTATGGCAGTTATGTTTGAATGATTACTGGACCTCTGCTTCTCTAAATCCACCTTGCTCGTATGTCGTGCCTTAGCTTACAGAGAAAATTAAAATTAAAGATGAAAATTACAGACAGAGAACTTCAGTAATCACCTAGTATTTATCAGTACACAACATCTGTGTTGATTATTTTGTAAACGGTGTACGTCAGTCCAGCAGCGCGCTACCAACTCCGATCACTACGCTTGTCATAATGGCATAGGGGACTCATACATAAGTGAAAACAAGATAAACTAGGATTTTATACCCTACGTATTTCGAGACACCTTGAAAACTGAGCCCAGCAGCGTTACTTCTCACTTCGTATCTCGAAAACTGGAATATTAGTCAAAATACTACAATTATATATTTTTTTGATAATTAAGTTATTTTGGACTTAATCTGAAGCATAAAAGTACGGCATAATTAATAAGAATTGTTACATTTTTATAGTATTTATTATGCAAGAAAGAGAATAATTGATTTTTTTTTTTTTTTGAAATCGTTATATACTTTGGGGCTAGGCTAATTGGTGTGAGTGTGGGAAATATTTATATATTTTTTTAAATTTAATATTATCGATCTTTCGAAATTTTTACCAATCCACTCCACCTTTCTTAGAGGTATAAAATGCAAGGTTGTTTTTCTCACGGTTTAAATTGAATACAACAAGCTAGTATGGTGTACGTTGACATGGCGAGCGGAACTGGTTGTCCTGCTGTACTGACGCACACAAGTAAATGCTATTTTATTCTACTCGATTTACATCCATAATGACAGTAATGAAACAAGATTTTCAAGAAAAATATAACTCCTCCTACTCAGTTATGATGATGCATATCTTCAGGAACGACTATGTAGACACTTAATAAACACTGAATTAGAAACATCGATCGGACTATATAGTATTATGTATTAAAGAAACATTCATTTAGGCTTATGGAACTAACACTAACACATACCTAGTTATTCATTTAAAGTTTAAAATTGCCTCGCTATTGCAATGTAGTCGTATTGAAAGCATTGTAATATTATTATGTTAACACTTAGAAAATGTAGCTGTATATTTAATATTTTAATACTGCAAGTAAACAAAAAATAATACTTAATGTAGCTACCAAATGCATGACAATGCTTGCAACTGTTATTATATTTATTATGAAGTGTTTTAGTTGAAACATACGAAATCACTGTATTATTGATTCAATCAAATATACTATTTTGATTCAAATAAAATAATATTATAATATTCTAGTAAAATTTTACAGCCAAGTGGTGTCGGTGTATTAGAACTGCTTCATAGTTTAATAATAATTATTTCAATAAATATAAGGTTTAGTCTTCAGGAAATATAGACAAAGTATTAATATACAATAAATTTTGGGTGGCAGTGTCCAGTCAAGTGTCTATTCTGGCGTTACATATTGTTTATTTTTTCAAAAATATATTTTTCTCATTATTTGTTACTACAAGAGGTAACACCAGAATTGACACCAATATCACAGTAATTATTAAAACAAAATCAAATGTTTAGAAATTACCTTAATAGGTAAATGACATTAATTAACGGGAAAACTGATAATAAACAACTAAAGTGGTAACATTGCTTATTCATCATTTTAAAATTATCACGATTGAAATACATAAAAGCTGATTCCATACATAAGAATGTTTAATTCTATTTACACTTAGGTTAAATTAAAGCACACATTGCACAACACAATAAATTATTTGTTACAAAATAAATAAATATGTATATAAAATGTGATTTGTATAGTGTGAAAAGGTCCAATAAGGAACCATACATCATTATGAGTGAATATTATTGGAATACATTGTTGATTTAATGTTATTCGAATAAGTGAGATTTCATTGCTATTTTACAGATCTGTCTGTATAGTCACAGTTGATTTATTTGATTAACTATATCAAGTTCAATAGGCTATTTGAAAAGTAATTTTTGATCTATTGCCACGTGACCGAAAACGCCTAGGATTGACGAAGCCTAAAATGACGTAACTGCTTGTAAACATGCAGACGAAGTGACATGACTTTGTACTATTTGATGTTCACATGCTTGTAAGATATTGAATAAGTAAATGTGTCCGTAAACATAATTTTTATTTTCGTTTTTTTCTGATATACGCGACAGAATTATAAATATCCACTTTTATGGGGTCAATATAATAAAAACTTGTCAAATAGCCTAATCTTTTACCCTTCTTAAGAATAAAGAAAATGATTTCGATAGGTAATGCGCAACCAAACTTGCTCCTGATTTCAAAAGAACCAAATACAAGTTATATAGGTCATTTTAAAAGAGGAAGTGCACTAAGTAAAAATAATGTACTTTCTCAAATTGTATTTTTTAATATAATTATGAATGGTGTTAAATGATCAAAGTGTTGATACCGTAAAACATATTTTAGATGGCTTTTATTTTTAGCTTCATTTGAAAATAAGGGGGCTGATTTTGCTAACTTTTACCTCAATCCGCAGTCCATATTAAAATCTAAAGAAAACAGCAAAATTGACAAACTTATCTCTTTTCCAACCTGTTGACTTATCAACATTCTGAATCTTATATCAAGGGATAAAAAACTCAGTCAGTTGGAGAACTTTGTCGGTTTTGGGTAACTTGAGTTATGGCTATGCTAAACCCCACTAAAATGTGAAAGAGATTGCGGAAGCGGAAAGGACTTACAAAATTAGGCCCTAGGTTTCATTACAGCAAATGTGTTTGTGTGCTCTGCTCGTAATTGAGGGAATCACGTGTAAAATATTTATCGTCTATAACGTCCAAGATAAGCACTGCAGTGAGGACACTTATGGTGTACATCCATGCAACTATCAATGCAGCAGGGGATGAAGCAACAGCCACAAAAACATCTGAAAAAATATTATATATATAATAAATGAGAGTCTTTTAAAAAGCAATTTATTCCAAATATGAAGAGGTCCTAGGGTGTGTGGCACTTAGAGACGTCAATTGAATGTAAACGTTAGATAAAATCTCCAATTTCGTATTAAAATTAAAAATGATTATTTTTTAGGATTCAATGGTCTCAAACCTAAGATATTTTTATTTATATCATGAAAGTCAGGGCCATTTCACTAACACTAGTAGACCTGAAGACATTGATTTACCAGATAAAAACAAAAAAGAATACAAAGACCCAGAACCACAATAAATTATAATATTTTGGGCAACTTCATTATTTTTTTCATATGAACCTGTTACAAAGCATAAAACTTAAACAAATACATAAAAGAAAAAGAAATGGAAAAAAATGGAGCAACTAAGGAATATAGGGATTTTTTGTATATATTTGTGTATGGCTAATGCACAGATGTCAAATTTGGCAATTTACTTACCCCACCATAAATAAAATGGCTCCAGATATGTAGGCAATAATACCAGGCTTGGTTTCAGTAGCTGTATCAATTTCAGCATGGCAGCTTGGACATATCATATGAGTTGGGTGTGGGCCTACAGGGACCACAGTAGTTACTATTCGAGGTCCTGCAGCTGGAACAATGAAGTGTCAGCATCCATTTTTATTTATCATATTTATTTTTTACCACCTATGTCCTCATATAAGGTGAGGCACCTGGCATATTTGAAACATCATCATAACAATTTTTTAAAGTAATATGCTTATAATTTAAAAGAGAGTCATTATAAAATGAGATAATTTATTAACTAATATTATTAAGCTGGACATTCTTTTTTTATTGTACGCGAGAATCTCATGAACTTTAAGTTCTCATTAGAAATTTTATTTTGAGCTGGATAATCCATTCGAGGAAGGTTATTTAACATTATGCAACAACAAACAGTACGTATGAAAAATATTGCTAAATTGGGTGTAACGTGTTAAAAACGTCACATGAATCTCCTTTGTTTAAAGAGCGAGATAGAAGACTTTGTTTAGGCTGTCTATCTCAGCCCCTTTTTTATCTCATATCAATTTCGTTAGTCTATGCGCTTTTTATAATTTGTGACTTGATAAGGCCGTTGCGGCGTTGTTTTCTTTGCCCGCCCGTAAAGAGAGAACGAAAAAAAGAATCTAATGACACTTCACGTCGCAATTTTTTGGTAAGAGAATGATTCACCGCTAATCTAAATGAATTACCTAGTAATACATATTATTAGTAATTATTTTAAATGAAATGAAGCCTTAGTTTGCCGTGCAAATGGCGGGCCTTAACCCAAGCTTAATTAATTTGTGTATAAAACGCCTTAGGCGTTTTTTTCTGCAATTTGTTGGAGTGATTTGCTATTTGATTTGATTTGAAAACATAATATTCAAATGGTTTATACCTTTTGTAGTAGGTTTTATTTTTAAGCTATTGTATAGCTTTTATCGCGGGCTTTGAACGCGGGGACCGAATCAAAAAATTCTGTAACGAAAAAACCTTGCGAGAGTGCATATACCAATAGAACACAATTTTCGCCATTCTAATGTCAATCTAAACGGCGCAGTGTGTTAAATTTTTGCCACGGGACTAACGTTTGATGCATCACCGCAGTCGTCGGTTCAAATCCCTTTTTTTATATATTTCTTTTAGACCCCAGCACCTGTTCTTATTTTTATTTGTCTCCCTTTTATTTAGACTTTATAATTATAATTTTTGGACTAAAGATGGTAAACTGTGGAGCTTGTGGAAGTTTTTTGGCGCCGGGCAATGCTGTTATTTGCTGTGCTTGCCCAATAAAATATAACAAGGCCTGCCCCGCCATCCCGGAAAAGTCGAGTGTCAGCGAGTTCTTGCAAGAACTGGATATGCCCGAACTGCAAGAGAAGAGAAGAGAACTGAAGAAGAGCACACGCAGGAGTGACAACACATACGCCTGTAAATGGTATCAGTGAATCTTCCGAGCCCGAAAACCCGGTTGCTGTACAGGAACCTGTCGACCTGACCAGTGGCTCTCCAAAGGAAGATGAGGTCCAGGGTAAGGCCAAGGAGAACGCCGCCAGAAATAATCACACCAGTGATATAGAAAGTATGCTGGCCGACTGCATGAAGGAGACAAGGGAATTCCGCTCAGAGATGGCGGCCTTCCGCAGTTCTTTTACCGCTCGACTTTACTCCTTCGAGTAGAAAGTTGAGGTGTTGGAGCAGCGTCAAGTGGATCCTGATGCAACTGGTAGGATAGACTTGGAGTGCACCATATTCGAGCTGCGCCCCGAGGTTAACGACCGCGATCAGGAGGCGTTGATGTCCAACCTGGAGATCGGCGAGTTGCCGGAAGAGAGGGGCGTCAGCGTGGAGCAGAGCGTCACCATGCTGGCCGTGCGGCTGGGAGTGACTCTCGACAGGCGGGACTTGGTGTTCGCGGAGCGTGTGGGCGCGCCGATTGGTGGTGCGCCTGGCGTGCCGCCAGTTGCTCGACGACCTCTTGATGGTCGCGCGTGTGCGCCGCAGGGTCACTGTTGCGGAGGGTCACGGATTAGGAGGACGGCGCCCCGGCCACCGCTGATGAGGGCGGTCCGCCGGCCACCGCCGTGGGGGGCGGCGCTCGCGTCTACATCAACGAGCTTATAGCCAGCTTATATAACTTCAAGCAGGCCCTGCCAGAATATCAGCGCTGGCGCGACACAATGTTGTATCACCTAGCGCTGAGGCAGGGTCCTGGTTAGCCCTTACTGTATGAGTTCCTTTTAACATGTTGTATTTTTTAAGGGTTTATAAAAAATATTTTCTTTCTTTCTTTCTTTTAACACTCCCCACTCCGACCGGCACAGCGGTGCGGCGTTGAAAGCCGTGCATCGTCTAACGTCGTTTCATTTCGGCAGACTTCGGCACGGTGTTTGTGTGCGTGCGACTAGACGTATGCGTGTAGACTAGCTGCTAACTGATCATAACTGATTCTATCTCTTTTAGATATAATGCTAGGTGAGACAGCGTGCTTTTTGGCCGCATCCACGAGTGAGTTCGAGCCCGGGACTAGTTGAACCTTAACGTGCATGTATATGGTACGACTGTACGAAGCTCGCATGTAAGACTATAAAAATATTTTAAACAATATTAACCTTTCATTTATTCAATAAAATTGATTGAAAAAATGATTTCTTATCGGTCACCACGCTCAAAAAGTGTAACATGAATTAATATCAAAGAAAAAACTTGAATTAATATCAAACAAAAACAAAATGCATAAATAAATAATTATAATTGCATAAGTTGATAAAAAATTTACCGCGGCAGTCCCCGAGTGCCACACGTATTTTTTTTCTTTTTTTTACTAATATTAGGGCGCTTTATATTTATGCGTTTTTTGACGGCCTGCTGCGGTGCCGAACGACATTCCTGCTATCGAGCGTTGCGGTACCGGCGCCGCACTGTTGCCGCACCGCGCGTTTTGTGTGAAAAAAAAGGATCGTCCGTACGCTGTACGACAAACGCACCGCTTCGGCACCGCAGCAGGCCGTCAAGAAACGCATAAATTGAAAGCGCCCTAAGGTGAGGTTTCAAATGATACAAATCGTACGCGAGTTCTGTAAGGCTCGCTCGTTTTTTTATTTATCTTTAAATTTTAATATCCATCCCCATTGGAAAGTAACGATCTGATGTAATCACCGGTTAAAACGGCCATCCTTACATGTTTCATGCACGGACATGAAGTTTCATGTTAGTGTTATAAAATTCTTAATTTAGCATAAAAGCTTTTGGTTCTAACTGGAATATTGCAATAAAGAGACAACCCAAAATGAGTTTGGCTTTTGCTTTAGCCCCCCTTGCCATCAATAGTTCAATGCCCTTCCGGAAAAGCGTTTGTGGTAGGCCTGGCGCCAGAGTCTTCAATCAGATTAATTTGGGCCTATCCATTTATTGTAATTATCTAATTTAATTTTTTTAATATGACATTTGTAGCCAGTTTTCTATTATTACATGGGGAAAAAATATTCCTTTCGAGAGCCTCCACTGCGTGCGCTGCGTAAACGGTTTAGATTGCGCCAAAATAATGGTTGACAGAATTGTTCCTCTTTAAGGTTGACTCACTGACCTTTTTCCTCAAAATAATGCTGATGAAACCGCAGGGCACTTTGTGACTAATAAATTACGAGAAACTGCTAGCTCTACTTTTTAGAGTGCATTTTCCCTTGTGCTTAATTTTGGGAGTTGTTTTCGATGACATGCATTATACAAAGGCAAACAGAGCTTTCACTACGGCTGTCAATACAGAATAATGTCATCTATATCATACTTTGATCAACAATTCTATAAATAACAGGTCAGTGCATAAAATCTGTCCGTCATCCGTCGTCTCTTATTTTAAATTAGTTCGCTTAGTACAAAACGAAGTGACGCGCTAGCCAATGACTGGTAAAATATTTTATTTTGTGGCTCACAAGGTTGATTGCACATTTTCCTTTTTTCACCTTTATTGTTTTCTCCCAATTTGATATAATTTATAAAAGGAACGAGAGTTTGTTTTATAGGATTAAGGGATGTATGTGCGAAAAAACATTTTGTTATTTGTAACCTTATACCTTTGTGAGATAGTAGTAATTAGCTTCAACTTAAACTGTTTTAAAACATTTATCTTTGTTCATTGGGAATCAAATGTAGCTGCACAAGTTTAAACATACACGGACCGTTTTTTTCCTGTAATTTTGTATGCAACCCATATATTATCTTTAGAATTGTTGATTGAAGATATCATATTATAGAAACAGTCTATCTAAATAAAAATTGGTGTGGTTTTATGAAACCATAATGCATTGTGCATGTGAAACTTTTAAAGTTTTCTTCTTCATATTCTTAAGTGGGAAAAAAATGTTGACAGGATTCTAATCATGGCCTCTCAAGTGACAGGCGAGCTTTCTACCTCAGAACAAAAAATATGTTTTAAGTGCCAATTAAAAAAAACAAAAAATATTATTAGAGTCTGAGCAGAAAGAGAATGGGATTTAGATTGGAGGGCGCTGTAGTGCTTTTCTTCCATATTTGTAAGGTATTACCTAGGGGAAATAGGTTTGACATGATTAAATACTAAAAACCGCAAGAAATCACAACAACAAACAAATCTGTATCAATACAAAACTTTGACGTTTTACAGATTGCTGGGTTTGATTGCCGAATAAAAATCTTAATGTTAGTTCCGTTTTTTGCCACACCCATTCTCTTTCCGCACAAACTCTACCACATGTTAAAGATAAAGAAACTTGTGGTGACAAAGCCCTGTCATACCATGCACATACCACTTCATGCATTGATGGAATGACGAATCAGTGAAAGAAGATAAACAAATAATGTCCATGAGAGTATTGAAGGAAATCAAGCAATTGAGAGAAAGAAAAATTAAGGTATATGAAAAATGATAAATATTATATTTATTAAATATGTACCTATAAACATATATATCAGATGATTTCCAACTACTTAATAACAATTTCTACCAGATGTTTGGTGTTTAACACATGTAAATTATTAGATGGAGGTCATATTCAGTCATTTAGTAATATGTCAAGGTTAGTTTGAACATAATCTTAAGTGACCTTATGTATTGGAATTTTTATTTTTGCAATTACTCTCCATGAGAAGTTAAGGTGCAAATGAGAAAGAACACTAATAATCAATGCTTTTTGTAAGGCATATTTCACTCACTTGCAGGATATTGCGGAGTGTAAGGACTGGATGGTCCCACTCCACCAACTGCTTGTGAGTAACTCGGGGGTGCGGCAGGCGGAGGCTGCAAAGAGTGCCCATTGTTGGACCATCCGTAAGGAGGAGGATTCCCACCCTTCTCCATTGTATTAATTACCTAAAATAAAATGGAAACAAATAAGCAGAAAAAAAATTGCTTTACAAAGTAGTTGTAAGTCTCGTGTGATGCAATAGTCTTGATGCTATTTTTAGACATGATTCCACCAACCTGAAAAATGCCAGATGAACAATAAATAAAAGGCTATAATTGCGAAAATAGCTTATTCCCGGACAGTCTTTTTGACTTTATTGAAAGATAGTATCGAAATATGCTTTTATCGAAGATAAACTCTTAACTCTTGTTCAACAAGTGGGTAATCTTCTTTCTTCTGAACAGTGACAAAAATATTTATCCTAACTAAAGATGCGCGATACATATAAGTACTCTTTGATACATATCGATATTATGCTGTATCGATATAAACGATTGCGATAAACCGATATTTTACATCAATATAACACCATACAATACGCGTCGATATATCATATCTCTAAAAATATCGAATACATTATTCTACTTCCGATGATGATTTGAACTTGTAATTACAAACCTCCTTTATGTTTTGGCAAGGAGAAATTAATGTAAACAAACTTTGCAAGTTTGCAATGCCGGCGCGGCATAAGGCAAGCTTTGTGCACTAGAGCCTGTGCGGAAAGAGAATGAGCGTGACGAAAAATGGAACTAACATTAAGATTTTTATTTGGCACTCAAACCCAGTAATTTGTAAAACCTCAAAGTTTTGTATTGATAAGGATTTGTTTGTTGTTGTGATTGCTTGCGGTTTTTGTATTTAATCATGTCTAAAAGGCGTAAAACCTTACAAATCGGTAGAAAAGCACTACAGCGCCCTCAAATCTAAGTCCCATTCTCTTTCCGCACAGACTCTACCTACTTACCTGAGATTTTTTTGAATATTTTATTAAGTAGGTACCCCTCTAAATATGTCGCTAGCTTTATTTAGAGGTCTAGACTATTATTTTTAAGAAGCCTAACCGCCTTTGAATGGCTGTTGTAAAACATTATAATTGGTATATTGTTAAATACTACAATTGGTATATCATTTGTCTTTTGTCATGTGAGTAGTTTTGGTTTTTAATAAAATATTACTGTTCCACATGTATTTTTTATTTTATACTGATTAAAAAATCGACTAAGATCGAACGCATCGTTACCAAACCATGTGATATATCGCTGTATCATTGCGATTGGTTACGATATGTATCGATTCACTGTATCGATACTAATTTATTTAGACTTTGGGCATTTTTAATTTATCCTTGATTGAAGGGTGTCAGTCATGCTAGCGTACACCACATCGAATTCGAGGTAGATACTTATGCTAATAAATAGTGCGTAAATAGCGCAATAATAATAAATCTTAGTCTTCAGTTTACGAAATAATAACTGTTTTCATGGTGTACGCTGGCGTGGCAATCTAGGTAGCGTACACCAGGTTATTCTCGAAAACAGCTTATTGTTATGCATCAAAATTTCCACAAAATAATAGTGCTCTAATAATGCCCTCACCATGCAAAGTTTTATAAACATAGCTCTTAAGCTAATAAAGATATAGATCAGGACTTATAAATAAAGTTTGGAGCTGGCGCCATGGTAGCGTACCTCAAATATTGCGTATAGAAAGCAAACTTCTCTTTAAACATACGTTTATACATGTATATAAATAGTGTGTGAAATTCTGCCTCTGTTAGTATAAAAAGTGAATATGAATTCGCAATAAAATAATAAAAAAATCGATGAGAAGTTCTGTTCATAAGAGAGGTACAGGCATGTTGAGAAGTGCTTTGTAAAGTTGTTTTATAATACAGCTATACTCAAGCTAAATCTGACTTTATACTGATCAAGAAAAGAAATTACTTAATTAATTTGAAGATACAATATAAATTGAAATAAAAATTTTATGAAATTGCAACAAACAACTTTATCATAAAAATAATTTTCATTTTGCTAAAAACAGTAATTTTTATCACATAATATTCATGTAACGGCTTAGTAGGTTAGTAGCATGTCTTCACAGTTTTTATAAAAAAAACTACCTATTTATTATTTTACAATAAAAGTTTCAAAATCCAAAGGTGGGTTGTATGTATGTATGTACTATAAATTGGCTTAAAACAACAATTATTTTTTTAATATACATCACAAATAATTTTTCCTCAAGCAGCGCAGTAGTAAAGAGCTGACGTCCACTCTGCTTAGAATATGCTCTAAGCCACTCTGTGCTCCGGCATTAAGGTACGGCCACAGCACACGCAGGTTCAGAATCAGATTCAGACTCAGAAAACAAGCGCGAGAAATAAACAGTGTAGTTTAAGAAGGGTGGCCATAGTGGCAGCAGGCAACAGGTCTTGTTCTATATCATTGTTCCCTTATGAGTTATGATTATGAAATTTTGCACAGTGTGGGTACTATTAGAGCACTATTTTCAGTGAAAATTTGATGCATAAAAATAAGTCATTTTCAAGAATGGCCTGGTGTACGCTACCTTGATTGTCACGCCAGCGTACACCATGAAAACAGTTTTAATTTCCTAAACTAAGGAGAAAGATTTTTGAAGTTATACTTCTTTAGGCGCGTTATGAAAAAATGATAAGAGAGAAATTTTAAGATGCGCGCGCATCACTGTAACACAAAATTTTAACAGCATGAAGTTGGTCGCTAAAGCGACCAACTTCATGCGTTACTTTTGTGTTTACGGCACATTAAGAAAATCTACTAACAAAATAGAAATAGAATCTCTATTTAGTGGGTGCTAACGACTGCATTGTGAAGGCCTATCAAAAGTCTTTATTAATCTGGAACAACGGAACCAAAGCGCGATTCAGGAGACTACAGCGCCATCTCTTGACCATTGGTGTAGTAGAACCAAAAACCACATCTTTATTTTTTGTAATAAAGTAACAGTTATAGGTATTCATATTTATAATATTTATCCACATGTTTCTAGTTTGTATATTCGGAATACGTGTTTGAGTTTCATACAAGTGCAAATCACATACGTTATAATAAATTATATTCAGTAGCGATTTTAATTGAATATTTTGATTATTTATTTATTTTTTCAAATTAAAACTGAACTTTATTGACTGTGTCCTTTTCCAGACTTTTTATTAATTTATTGTAATTAATTATTTGCATGCAATTAAAAACTAATTTTAAACGATGCCAAAGAAGGATAACTTCTCACGCACCTACATAAGTACACGCACCCATTTTTTTTATTATTGCACTAATTAGGCACTATTTACGAACTATTTGTTAGCATAAGTAACAACCTCGAACTCGATGGGGTTTATGGGTACGGCCACAGTACACGCTGGTTCAGACTCAGAAAACAAGCGCGAGAAATAAACAGTTTAGTTAAAGCAGGGTGGCCATAGTGGCAGCAGGCAAATGGTTGCCCGCGCAGGGTTCGGAGTCAGGGACTTTAGCGGAATGTTTAGGTCATTCTTGTTTCAGATACAGATTATAGTTGTATATGTAACGTTTTTCTTGGTTGTTTTATAAACAAATATGCATTGCTTCTTGTTTGCGATCTTCTCTTGTATCTTGATTTATATTTTAGAATTAACATAATGAAGTTAGAAGCGTTTATCGCGAAAGTTTTTCTTAACCCTCTTGCCGTGTGGTATAAAAGAGACAATTAAAATACCCGTTATTAAAATAACACTACTTACATAATTCATAAATACCAACATTCAAACATAAATCAAACTTTTGATAATTTACAGAAGCAACTTCTTACAATCACATAATTTAAGACTAGTCGTAACATCGCTGTCGCAAATGCTATCACATCGCGGTCAAAATACGTTTCGTAATACCAAAACAAACAACCGGTTGCTTGTGTTCAAGTGATCACATGCATTTTTAGTACTTCGTCCCTAATACAAATTTGTGTTTTGACAGCAATAATGGTACAATTTTAACGATTGCGACTGTCACTTGAAGATCTCGTTTTTGTACGAGAATTCTTGTACGGCTGATAACCCTGCTTTTTCAACAATTCCATAGACAAATACATGACAAAGGAAATTTAAAGGTTAAGACACACTGGTTGGCTTTCGCAAAATTACCTCTACGCACTACCCATCTTGCTGGATTAGATAATCCTAAGTCTATATGCTGCATTGAGCATGCGGGACAGTGCTATAGGAGAACACGTAAAATAGGAGGGAGATACAGGATTTCTTTTAGAGTAACAACTTACCTTTGGTATATTGTGTAATTACTATGATACACGATTCTGGCATGATGCTCTGAACCTTTTTGTACTACCATTCTATACAAAGCTTGTCAAGGATACACTGTTATCAAACATTTTAGATACAAGAGAATCATGCTTGGCCAGAATCGGGTTTAATGTCTTGTTACGAGTTAGGACATGGTGTCATGACGGGCAAACTTGACCAAGTCGCGAAATGTAACATTGAACCGATTTTTAATACTTAATCTGTGGTCCGTAACACCGCGGTTTTTTACCTGTCAGAAAAGTTTCTTTTCCTTTTCGACTCCGGCTGAAATGTGTGCTGTTTGCGAGATTCTGGATATGAGAGCTAAGTATCTTCCCCGAGTCAATTAATTACTATTTATTATTCATATGATGTGTATCATGTGATTTCACGTGTCGATTGGTAGGTCGGAAGAAAGACTTACCTATATTAAGAGCAGTACAATTGTAACATAGATCGGCAATTGTACTGGCGAACGCTCGAGGGCGTTGCGCGGGATGATAGTGTAGTGCACTTGACTGAACATACAAGGAGGCCAAGAGAGTGTGTGCGAGGGCTGCTCGGCACACCTTGGCTCCACGATGAACAAGGGAGGCCAAAATGAGTGTGTGCGAGCAAGGGCGTAGCCAGGATTTAGTTTAGGGGGGGGGGGGGGGTATTATAACTAAATTTCATATAAACAAGAGCAATTTTCTCGGTTCTTCGCAGAACCGTTTCAAGACTTCACCTGAAATTGCATGTAAATTTTTTTGTTCCATCTTTCGCTGGACACTTAAAATTTTTGCTGGTGGGTTGTGTTGAGAACAAGAGCGAAGTTAACTTATTTTTATAATGCTTCTAAACCTGTGTTCTAAACGGGCCATAGTTGCCCGGCAATGTGTGGCTACGACAGATGGCCCGGCAAAATTATATTTTAATGAATAATAATAATAATAATAATAATAATTTATTGGAACCACTTTACATTTTAGTACATGATAATGAGGACATGTCCTCTGGAAAAGGTTACCCTGAGGACCAGAAGACAGTGCTCTCCCCACTATTGTTACTACAATACTAGCTACAATAATTTAAAAC